GTTGTGGACCTCATCGACCCATGCAGACGACTCATCAAAACATGACTACTCTCCTGGATATTGTCAGCCCTTCGTTCCCTGCCATGACAAACAACTCTGTCATGCTTGGGATTTTACCGTTTTATCACATATATGGTTCGAACCCCCCTTCCATCCGCGTATATATGCCCATCCTTCTCCAGGAATCGCCAAGCTCTTGCATTTCCCCTTCTCTCAGGGCTGTCCTGTCATTATCCAAACGAAATTCGAGCCTGTCAAGTTTTGTTCTGTCATCCAGAGATTCCGAGTAACCCATGTTCTTGTCGTGCCGCCTGTTTTGGTCGTTCTGGCTCGTCACCCTGGTGTGTACGATCTGTCGGTAACTGTTGCTTGCTCACCCAGCTATCCACATCAGCCGTCGACGAGTACGATCTGTCCAGCCTGGAATTTTTATTTTCTGGGGCCGCTCCGCTTGGTCAAGGTCTTGTGAAACAGGTCAAGCAACGACTGCTCGCAAAGCGCAAAGGTCGCACCGATATAGCAATCACGCAGGGTAATGTCGAACCACCTCTTTTGAGCAGATGTATGCTGAGGGTTTGCAGGATACGGGCTAACGGAGACCTCGCCAACCACACATGTGTTGGTCGTCGAAGAGGCCGACCGCAAAGTTGGCAGCATCGGCACCCTATTGCCTAATCTCGAGGCCCGCCTAGTGGAGGACGATGAGGGCAAGATCGACGCTGCTGAGGGTCAACCCGGCGAGTTATGGATACGAGGAAAGACCGTGATGAAGGTGAACGGGCTTCTTGAAACAAAGCACTCGTTTATTTATTAATGCCTCCAAGGGATATCTGAACAATCCCACGGCGACCAAAAACTCCATCACTCCGGATGGTTGGTTCAAGACCGGGGATGTGGCGATCCGAGACAAGGAGGGGTACTATTACATCGTTGGTGAGCTCGACGCCTCATTAATTGCGCTAACCGCCGATACCCTGGTGCTATTGCAGATAGACGTAAGGAACTTATTAAATACAAGGTTAGTTTCCACGCCCTGTATTTCCTCTTATTTCTGACTGGTTAAACGATAGGGATTCCAAGGTATGACCCCGATGCAGAATCGGTCCGGTCTGACGCTATTATTTTATTTTAGTGCCTCCTGCGGAACTCGAGTCCGTGTTATTGACACATCCTGATATCGCGGATGCGGCGGTCATCGGACTGGAGAGTATCAAGGAAGCCACCGAGCTGCCGAGGTCGGTTTTGGCTTCATCTTTTGAGCTGCCCGATCTTCAACATTTGTCGTTTGTAGAGCATACGTTGTCCACGCCCATCCGGAGAAGGTCAAGAGCGCCAAGGCCAAGGCCGAATTTGCGAGGAGTGTCGCGAAGTGGATGGAGAGCAAGGTTGCAAGACACAAATTCTTGCGTGGCGGTGTGGCGGTGATTGATATTATCCCGAAAAGGTTTTTCAAGGCTCTCTTTGCAGTTTTCATACTTGCTTACACTTTTGCAGCGCCGCCGGCAAGATTCTGCGACGCGATCTTAGGGAGTTGGCCAAGAAGGAGGCTGCTCAAGGAGATCTGAGCTTAGACGTCAAGGCCAGGCTTTAATTTTACATGACCGCAGATTTTTATTACTCTTTTATTGCAATATGATGCGGGCAACGGACGTTCGGGCATTCGGGACTATCCTCTAAGTACTGCTTCTGTCGCGAAGCGGTCCATTCAGACGCACACCGATAGACCATAAACCTTCGTCGCGGTTGCTCGGATACAACCTAGTGTATCATCTCCGCGACCTGAGATAGTGTGTTAGCGTCAAGGTGAAAATGCGCAGAGAGCAAGTTGGGTCAGAAGTGTCAATAGTTTTGGAGCCCACCCCACAAGTGGGTATTCATCCATGAAGAAATTCAAAAAAAATCCAACGCATCATGTGCAGGAAGGGATCAGAAGAGGAAGCTCACCTGAAAAAAACATCCGACGAACGAAGAACATCAAAGTTCCAGAAAGTAAAAAATTAGGGAAAGGCGCCGAATGAGAGTGAGCCCCATTGAGTTGAGGACCCTGGAAGGGTCAACAATCGTATAACTATGTCTATGAGCAACAAGTTGCCCAACGTTTGGAAAAACCACCCGAGCAACAGGATGCTCGTATCTTCGCAGCCTGCGCCTTCGCCGAATGGTGTACCCGCAGCTGGGCAGCGGAGTGGCTGGGACAGAGCAACGGACTGTTAATACAGGCCGCGCAGAGTTATCCCGCCGCCCTCGCCCAGACCGACGTGCTTGGGGCCGGTTGGTTTCCATTGTGGACGAGGGCATGTTCCGCATCTCCGGGGACTTTCCCCACAGCAAAGGTGGAGAGCATACGCTCTCTGTGCGGGAGCTGCGACGACGATTCTTCACACGGCGTGGGTTAAGGCAACCTTGAAAATTTCAGAGTTTATATATGTTTCGGTTGGCTCGGGTTTGGTTCTGTTTGTTTCTCTAGCTCCATTGAATTGTGGTAGACGCGTTCATGTCGACAGGTCGGAAAGCACAGTCCACTACTCAGCAGACTCAGAGGCCGGTAAGCCATCCCCACATCTCACTCTAGTCTCCCCCCTCACTCGACCGCAGGTCCTATTCGCAACCATCCCCACAATAAAGGTCATTGAACCGCCGAAAGGTACTTTCGTTCCTCCATGGCACCTGTACTCTATCGACCACATCACTAGGACGGTTCTCGACCTGTAACGACCAGTGGTGTCTAACGTACTGCTCACAAAACGTTAGCGGCCGCATCCACCACAATCCCCCGTGGTGTCGATCTGTCTGCATTCGTAAAGTCTTCTCGCATGAAGTGAGGAATATCCTTCAGTTCAAGAGCCACAGAGACATTGGCCCTGACGGAAAGGCACGATACCCGCTCCCGGCAGAGGGTCAACCCATACACCTGCCGCGATATCTCGGTGGGAAGCCGATCGAAGACCCCGAGTATGGCAGAAAGGCACCCGAGGATACCAAATACTGGGACGAAGGGTGGTATTTCTGGAAGACCAGCAGCTTCCGGGGCGTATTCAACAGCATCACCCACATGCACTACAACCTGGACCGACAGGTCAAGATAGAGGCGATGAAGCAGGAGAAGCGAAAGCTCTGGAAGGAATACCAGGAGTTCGTCAAGTCGGGCGAGCCACCGACGGAGGAGAATAAATGGCTCGGTCGCGTCGTTCCTCCCAATTTCGGCCCAGATGAAACGTGCGTCGCCGATGGTTGTGTCTTTCATGCGCTTACTTTCTTGCTCGTTAGTCTGGACTCCCTATTGGTGCCTCTTCCGCTTGATTCAGGCCCACTGCTGCAGCCCATATATCAAGTCCTTTCCCCTGCCCACCATTCTTTACAGTTATTTCGCGACAACCTTACGGAGGGGAATTACCAAAAGTTTGCACTTCGGCTTTGGGACAAGGCTCAGACCGGCGAGCCCTTCACTCTCGCGAGCCGTGCTTGGAACTTTGGTTTGGAACAGTGGAAGAACAAGGGGAAAGGGTCTGATGAGGACGACAAAGAGGAGTCGTAGGTTGTTGCGGTCCAGAATCCCTAAACTTGTATCACCCGCCATTCATTGTAACCCTACTCACACACACACACACCCTACCATACTTCGCATTAGACCATGCGTACAAACCAAGGAATGTACTTGATAATAAATCCCTTTGCTTTTATCCCGCGCCCGCCTTTGACTCAGACGATGGGTCACCCAATGGGTGGAAGGAAAGCTCTAGAGTCTAAACGTGACTTTACTGTCATCACGGTGCATGCTTTGTCACCATCGCGTCTTATAATGGCGCACTTCACTATCACTTCGTGTCTGCTCCCCAATCCGACTTTCTCCCGCACGTTGAGGAAACAGCTTCCAAGGCCCCCTCCCGGATAATGGCAGAAAAGAATTCTCCAATCGAGATCCAAAGTGTTAAGCAATGGAACCAGAATTTGCGTGGTGCAACCGAGGCTGGAATGACAGTTCTTGTCGACTTCCATGCGCAGTGGTGTCAACCGTGCAAGGTATGTACGACTGCAGCGTCGGGCCACATTTTCTGAAAGTCATTCCTGTTGCGTTGTGGTAGGTCATAGCTCCTCGATTCAACCAGCTAGCAATGCAGAATCCTCATATTCGCTTCCTACGTGTCGACGTTGACGCACAGCAAGCGATCGCCCAAAAATACCAAGTTACAGCCATGCCTACGTTCTTGGCCATTAAAGCTGGCAAGTGTGTCGATATGGTTGGTCGTGTCCAAATTATTTCCACTTGCTCTGACCGTGCATACAGATACGAGGAGCTGACCCTCAAGGTCTTGCTCGTCTGGTGCTCCAGCACGGGGGCCCAAACCCTCCTGTCCCTCCACTCCCGGAGGAGGCGGAGGCAGCGAAGGTTGCAGGAAATGTGAGTCGTTTTCTGCATTCCTAATTCTCAGCCCATGTTCATCCTTTCCTTGCAGGCTTTCTATAAGGACGGACACTACGCTGAGGCTATCGAAAAGTACACCGCGGCAATCTCGCTCGCTCCGAATTCTGGGGCGCTGTATGGCAATCGTTCCATCGCGTATCTGAAGTCGTCGCCCCCGAATCTTGACCTTGCGCTGGCCGATGCACAGAAGGCTACTGAGGTTGAGCCGAAATGGGGCAAGGGCTATGCCAGACTCGGGGAAGCGCTCCAGGCCCTGGAGCAAGATGAGAAGGCCGCCATGGCTTTCGAGACAGCTGTAGAGCTCTCGCAGGGTCTGGCTAAAACAGAGGCGAAGCAGAAGCTTGAAGCTGTGAAGAAGAGGCTTGGCTGGCATTAAATTCGATCTCTTTTGTATTCTGGCATAAGTAGTACTGTATCTGCAGATAGACATCCGATGTATAATTATTGCTATAGGGTAGTTGAGTGGTTGCACACAGTTTCAGGCACATGTGAACTTTGAATAATTCTCGTGAGATCTGCGCCGAACGTCCATATGCTACGGAGGGTCCCACTAAAAAAGGGGAAAGTCCAGAGACGATGACAGCAGTGGGGTTCGAACCCACGCCCTTTCGGACTGGATGAGAATGAGATGAATCCTAATTCCAGCGCCTTAGACCACTCGGCCATGCTGCCGTCAAAGGGTTGTCGGCAAAGGAAGAAGGGTAGAGGGGCATCAGAAGAAAACAACAGATAAGTACCCGCGCGAGCAGTTTGCTCCCCGCCTTGATACATCTAATCATCTGAATTTTTCAACTCAAACAGCCACCCACTTTCTTAGTTGCGAGAAGAACCGGCAGCGTGGTACAGGCATCGAGAATTTGTTCCGAGTCGGCGCAGTGGACAAACAAACTTGACTTCGGAAGCGTCGCGTTTTTCCTGAGTCGCGATTCCGATCCTTTCAAAGTTGTCGTATTGAACACAAGTACACCAAGACACAGTGCCCGGCGACAGACGACTTCGTGTCCTGATACCAACATACTAGGCCGGACAACATCCAAAAATCCACGGCAAACGCACAAAAACTCGGGCAGGGGAGACTGAATTCGGCCTCAAGTTCCATCAGGTCAGTGATAACTAAGACTTTGCAATATCCCGAAGCACCATGAGTAATACACTTGAGCAGAATATAAATGCGCACGGTCCGTCGGCGCAGCACTTCAGTGGAATAATGGGCCCGATAAACGTCCTTGAGCCCGCCAACCAACCGTAAGGTGCATGGAAAGTCCTTCGACGTATTGTTCACAAGGACGCTAAAAGCCTGGCTGCCTGAGGCGACAATGAGCATGGACGAATTTCGGCCGCGACGCGCCAGAAGGTTGACGCGAAGGTCAATCAACACTCAGTCAAGTGCTTACCGGTGATCACCGAAGATGCCACTTGTTCTTAGACTGCAAGCCTGTTTCACTTCGTTTCTGCTGTTATTCCTTCAACGGTGTTCAGTTAGTCATAGGTCTCCTCCGTCAATCAAACTCAATCTACTACATTGGCCCAAATCTGCTTTCTTCAACGGTCATTTCAGGAGATAGAGTACTGAAAAGGTTTGCCACTAACTCGGGAAAAGTCATCCCGGACCCACGGTCTAATTCACGGCATATACTTAATGCTTCGCCGGGTTTGCTTACCTGAGACGATTCAGATTCCCTCCAACATGGCGCTCACTTCGTCTATCCTGCTCTCAAATGGAACTGTCCTTCTCCACGACGAGAAAGACCATGTGAATCCAGTCAAAGCTGATATCCTCATTGCCAGCAACAAAATCATTCAAATTGCGCCCTCCATCTCTGCCCCCTCGGACACAGTTCGCATAGATTGCACCGGACAGATACTGTCTCCGGGATTCATAGATACTCACCATCACATGTGGCAAACGCAGCTGAAGGGAAGACACGCAGATGATCTGCTGCTGGATTACCTATTCAAAGGTACTTGTAAATTTTCTATCTACTCGCTCGTAAATAAATGCTCATGTGCATTTGTAACAGGATGGGTTATGGCCTCACTGTTCAACCCTGACGACGTATTCTGGGGAGAATTGGGAGGCTGTATGGAGTCTCTGGATGGCGGTGTAACTACAGTCGTCGACCATGCCCACATCAACAACTCCGCTGAACACTGTGAGGATAAATCACGGAACCACACCTTACTTTGCTCATTTAATGTTAGCTTCGTCTGCGTTATCAGCTACCGTGGCCTCTGGAATTCGCTCATACTTCTGTTACAGTCCAGTCCCCCAACCAAGAGTTACATCATGGGCCCCCTTCTGCTTCGAATCGGACACAAACCCCTTGCCCGACTGGGCCACCAGGCAACTTGCTGACCTTGCTGCGAATCAGCCTTTTGGAAATGGACGTGTGCGTTTAGGCGTCGCCTTTGATTCCTGGTACCTTCCCAAAGATGTCGTTGTTTCTCTTTTTGAACGCACTCGCCAACTTGGTGTCAAGCTTTTCACATCACACTATGTCAGGAATCCCCTTTTAGGTACGTACGGCTTGCACTTGGTTCGATTATTTCGAGACAGATATTCGCCTAGGATCGCATTCAATTGTGAATATCTTAGACTCTTATGGGCTGCTGAAGGATGATATCCTTCTGTCACACGCAAGCCAGGCCCTTGAAGAAGATGCAGTGCAGCTCGTCGCGAAAAATGCTCATGTCTCCGCCACCCCAGACACGGAAATGCAGATGGCGCACGGCACACCAGTATGTTTCCGCCCAGACCTACACGAAATATCATCCCTTGGGATCGACTGCCATTCCAACAACTCCGGCGACATGCTCACCCAGATGCGGCTCGCACTGCAAAGCGCCCGCGCAACGGCCAACCAGCGATTCGTCGACCAATGGAAACTCCCACGGGCTGTAGCTGCTACGGTTGAGCAGGCTTTCAATCTCGGAACCATTATGGGTGCGCGCGCGGTGGGAATGGCGGCCGAGATTGGAAGTATCGCGGTGGGCAAGCTTGCCGACATCGTCATCTTCGACGCGCAGAGTCCAGGAATGATCTGTGCAGCCGAGCACGACCCCGTCGCAGCGATCGTGATGCATGCATCTGTGCGGGATATCGAGACGGTAATAGTCGATGGACGGATTCGGAAATCTGGCGGAAAGCTGGCTCCGAGTGAGGTGCTTGGGGGACTGATGGAGTGGCCGCAGGTTGCTGCAAAGTTGCTGCAAAGTCGGAAACAAATGGAGGAAATTATTGCGACAGCAGATATGGCCGGCGCGAAGAAGAGCATAATTGAGCTATATCACATCGACGAGAGCCTTATTGTGGATGATTTGTAATTTACACGATGCACGTGATGAAGCAGACGCGTTGATGTGTTGTATTTGGCACGGTTCAACATCCAACCACAATGTCGTCTCCGCGACAGGCAGCGTCGCCGTTGCGAGACCGCTTCCTATCCAATTCACCGCGCTGGGACGAAAACAGCAATATTCTCGATGGTCCCGACGGCCGTGTCTCCCCCTTGCGCATCTCCAAGCGCGATTCCCCCCTCCGCAGGCCACCCCAGTCAGAGGTCGCCCGCCGGAATTCATCCAGCTTCAAGCATGTCAGAAACAATAATCTCGTTTCAAAGTCGCCCTTCAAGTCCCAGATCCCCACCGCGGCCACACCAATAGCCCGCCAATTCCCCTCCCCCGCTCGCCGTGTGTCGGGTGAGAAACGACCTAGGTCGCAGAGCATGCACGACCAGGCAGAGGCAGAAAACGACCGTCCCTTTACTTACAAGCGCGAGCGCCGCCAGTCAAAGACCTTTCAAGGCCTTCTCCAGAAGGAGGTCGTCACAAAGAGCCCTTTCCGCCAGCAGGAGGACCCCCATCTACCGCACGAGCCACCCCCAGTCCCTCCAGTGCCCCCCACTCCGTCACGCATCCCCGTGCCGTCTACAACTGCGCCGTCTCCCGGCCGCTCGTCGCTCGTCTCCAAACGCATGCATGGACCACGACTCAGTGGTCGTCGCGAGCGCCGTAAGACTGTCACCTTCGACGAGCGCTGCGATGTCGTAGAGTTTGACCGCGATGAGGAGGATCCCTCCGATGACAGTGCGGATGATTACGGTGACGGAGACCAAGACAATACTCCCGACGGCAGCGACCCCTTCTTCGCCCCACAGCAGCAGGAGCAACCTGCACCGTCTGACTCGTCGTATGAAAGCATCGATTTATCCGAGGCAAACGGCTCGCTTCTCCCCGACACGCCTATGCCCCTTGGACTCGAGCTCGACCCGGACGCAAGCATCACCGGCCTCGTCGACGCCATGTTCGCGCCAGTGTCAGGGACGAGCACGCCGCCGCCGCCGCAACAGTTGGGCTCATCCCACACACGCACATTTGAGCTGCCGCCCCTCGATCACAGCGAAGACAACGATCACGCGACCGACCTGGACACAGAGGACGGCGTGCCGTTTGGGCGCTCTCATCATGCTGCACGCGCCGCCGCCTTCCACGAGCACGCTGTGCACCCGCCGCCCGTCCCGCAGCCGCACCTCACGTCCAGCGGTAAGGGTTCGCGGCCACTCCCACGCCCGGACTTCCGAACCGCAGAGACAACACCACCGCGTCCCCGCGATAATGCTGACAAGTCCACCCCGCCCCTCGGGCGCACCACGCACTTTGAGCGCAGACTTGCGCGGCACGAAGAGGATCATGAAACCGACGACGCGGCCGTCGCATACTTACCTGGCTCGCCGTCGCCTGCTCCAGCACGGCCCTCCCAGTCTGACCTCGTCGAGATTGGCCTCCCAAGGTTTTCGCTGCCGAGTGGTATGTTACTTATTCAGCCTAATAAAATTTACTCATGCTTTAATTACTACAGGAGGTGGAGCGAACGCAGACGACCCGTTTGCACTTCCAAAGCTAAAGGACGAGTCGCTACCGGATGTTGGGGAGGACAGCCGGGATGTGAGTATGCACGCGGAAGTGGGTTGTTTCCAGTATAGATATAAAATATTTACTAACTATTTTTCATAGGCAGACGCGTTCCAAAGTCAGGGCAGCCAGCAGAGCCTGGTGAACGGTAGCGGCGGGCGGCCGCGCATCAGCCGCGAGGAGGTGGCAAGACGTTTGCGCGCGCGGAGCGCGAGTCCTGAGCTCGAGCAGCAGCCAACGGACGACGCGATGAATGAGGATCAGGTGGCATATGAGAGTGCGAGCGAGGGGCAGAGCAGGGACGAGACGCGGGACGAGGACGAGTTCAGGGAGGAGCGCGAGGAAGAGGCGCGTTTTGAGCAGAGGGAGCGCCTCGAGCGAGAGTGCGTGGAGGAACGGAGTGCGAGCGCGAGCATCAATACGGAGATGGAAATGGAGGTTGGGACTGTAGAGGTGGCGGAGCGCGTCAGCGTCCCCGCGCCGGTGCTGACCATCCACTCACCCCCCAACTCGCCCACGTACCCACCTCACAACCACAGCAACAACAACGCGGAGCTCGGCCTACGCGCACCGGACCTCGGGATCGACTTTGGAAGCCGTTTTGGGCTTGAGGGCCTCGGTATCCCGGGGTTCGGGGGGAGCGTCGGCTCGCGGATAAGCGCGACGAGCGGCCTGAGCACCGGTGCGGCAGAGCGGCACGAGCTCGAGCGCGTGGCGGTGGATATGGAGATGCGTAGCGCGCTGGATCAGCTGATTGACGA